TTCAAAACGGATCATTACCGGCTTGAAAACGGGTGAAACTGGGTAATGTGAAATTCCCCCATCTCTCTCTCCACATCTTCCCGTGCTCCATTTACACTCAGCCATTTCTCCCCTCGGGATGCTTGACTGGCATCCACTGGAGTCCATATTCTCTAGGAGCGGCTTCCATTTTGTGGAGCAGGATCTCTGGTCTCTAGGACATGCTCCAAGGCGGCGTTGTTTGCCAGGACATTCGAGGCCGCGTGAGGACTGCCGGATGTAATTGTTTGATGTTATTATGGGGGGGCAGTGTTTACGTGGCTGTGGCTTTTAATAAAATCACATGGCTCCCCTTGAGACCATGTGAGAAAGGCAGGTTTTAAATATTTTAAGAAATGAAACAGAACAAGTGAGGACCCGCAGTTGCGGGGAGGGTGAATCCCGTTTTCCCCCACACACCTTCCCGCTTTGCTTCCTTCCCTCTCCCCCACCCCTTTTCTCACTTTTTTCCCCCCAATTCAATTTATTACAGGTTGTCACGGGCTCTTACAGGCCACCACCTTTTGGACACCACTCTTACGCGGGACACTGCTAGCTTCGGGTAGTAGCGGGGACCACTTACCCACTGGTTTCGTTCTTCGTGATGAAACTCTCCTGGTTCACTCCAAGGCTCTTAAAACTGGCGGAAATTAGTGACCGGACTCCGTTGTTTATAAGAATAAAACGGCTTTACTGTGACATCTCTCATCTTCCTCCAGTACAACCTTAATCAGATACACGTTCCAAAGGTTCCAACAATTAAACCGCTCTCTGGGATTCTTCCCACAATGTGTCAGTTCCCAATGGCTGTTAGCCTCCAACCGCTCACAACCTCCTCACTCACTCTCCATCCTCCAACTCCCTCTCTGTCCGTTTTCTGCCCATCAACCTCCCAAACATTCCATCTCTCCACACTGCCCTATGTCTGCACATCGCTTTTCTCTAGGTGTTCCCTTTTTGGAATCCGTCACACAGGTCTATACGACCGAAGTCTTGACCAGCAGAAAATGCAAAAGGGGG